AGTAGTGAAGGTTATTTGAAATTGCACCCATGGGCAGCTCCCATTCTAAGCCCCAAGGTGGTCAGCTAGCATTGTCTCAGGAAAGCCTCACTCCAGAAGAGTCCAGTTTAAATGCTTCAGGGATTTTAACCTTCCAGAAAAATCCAATGCTTTGCTAATTATCAAACCAAATGTCAGAAATGGTTTTTCTTTGGTGAAATTAGTAGCATGCTAATGGGATAATAGATGTTAGAAGGGGGCTCTCAATCGCTATCTGTGAGTGATATTCAAGACTTATATATTGGCTGATTTGTTTTATTACTGATACTTCCGCTGGTTTGCAAAGTACGTGGGAAGTCTAGACCCCCACATGGCCCTCTAGATATTTAGAAAATCTCTTGGACCCTGAAGCCAAGGGTCTGCAATTCAGCTTCTGAAAAGTTCAATTGCCTTGAAGACTCTTCCATACAAGGTGGAGGTTGGTCTAAGCAGATAACAGGCAGTAAGTAAGGGCTTCACTGAGCAAGCAGAACAGGCTGTAGAGACCTACATTATCCCTTCTCACTTAAAAAAAAAAATTAGCTGATGTTGATAGAAGATTTTGTCCAAGGTTTGCTTCCTGGGGATATGAAAGCAGTTAACACCCACCCATTAAACTTGAAAGTAGATTTTATCACTTACCAAAGTGAACCTAAAGATTGTACATGCACGTGACATGCATGATCCTCACAGTGACTCTGTGACGTAGGTACTATTAGTAGTATGTCCATTTGCTGTTGGGGAACCAGATCTGGAGACCTTGAGTCACCTGTCCAAGGACACAGAATCAGGATGGAAATCTAAATCCTTTGATTCTAAATCCTTATTCTTTCACCATGCAGAAATAAGTTTTGTGATGTTTTTCATTATTTTTAATTACTCTTTGTGAAGATTCAACCCAGGGCACTATACCTCTGAGCCACACCCCTGACCCTTTTTATTTTGAGACAAAGTTTCACAAAGTTGCTGAGGCTGGATTTGAACCTGTGATTCTCTTGCATCAGTTTCCCAAGTCATTGGTAATATAATTGTGCACCACTGCGCCTGGCTTTTTCTTGATTTTAAATGTATCACATGCTCACAGGAACGTTGGAAGATGTGCAAACATATAAAATAGCCTAATTGCATTATTCCAGCAAGATCAAATGGAGCTTTGCTATGTTGCTTCCAGACTTATTTTCATGCATATGGAGTTGGTGTGGTTCAGCACTCATGGGGCTGAGTCTTGCTTACTTAACATATTATACTCATTTCTTCATATTGAAGCCAGAATTAAAAGAGGCAGTCAGTAGAGATAGGTAAATCAGGTCAGATCAGATCAAGGAGGCCAACTGGGGTCTGGGAAGTTGGAGAGGGATTGAAATGTTAATATTTTCAGAGCCCTTCCTCCACCCTGATCAAGAAAACCTTCCCCTGCTGTAACCTGTCCCAGGGATTGTCCCTCCCTAGAGGGAGTTATAAAATTTGTTAATGCACCCTGGGCCTCCCTTCCTGCCCGGATCATTCCACCTGGACCTTTGCTGTCCATCTGCTTCTCACCTTTTGGCCATCCCACCGGAAGCGTCTCCTGGGCCTCCTCATATATGCAGGAAGGAGAGGATAAGGGGGAAGAGAGCAGGAGAACAAAGAAAGTCTAGCAGGTATAAAAGATGTAGAATGTTCTCACTTCTTGAGATACCAGGATACCAGCTAAATGGCCCCCTTCTCCCTCCCAGGAGAAGTCTGCATTACCCTCTTTTAAATAAACCCTGCTTTATATGCTTGCCTTGGCGTGTAACATTCTCTAATGTTATACTTCAACATGTGAGGAAACAGTACTCATCACTGACAACTGGCGATGTCACTAGCTCGAAAGATTCTTCATTAACATCATTTTTAAGGTGAACATAATATTTCTTCTGGTGACTACATCACGCCACCTGTTGCTGGACATTTTACCTCCTGATTTTTTGCTATCCTCAGCAGCAACAAGGTGGTCATCTGAGGATAGTTGTTTGTTTACTTGCTTCATCACGAGAGAAGATTTTGGAAAGAATACTTACTGGATCAAAGAGCAAGAACACTTTAATGGAATTTATGAGACATTCAACTAGAACACAGTGGATTCTGCCTTTGTAAATAACAGGATGAACACGACTTTCCAGGACTGAGATCAAAAGTCAACAAAAATGAAAACTATGAACATTTTGACCAAGAATGGACTGACCAGTTGTTGATTTATGTAGTGGTAGTTTTCTAACCAGTAGGGGGCAGCACAAACACCAACAGAGTCCCTCCTTGGCCAAATCCTCCTTGGATTTGTCAATTTTGTAGCATTTTTGCCAAGCTTGCATTGTTAAAATTTAGCAACAACAGAGTCATCAAACTTACCGGCAGGAGCCAGAAAGGAAAATCCAGTTTGCAAAGATTTACAGCTTTCAGAAACGTTCCGGAAGACTGTTCCAGATGGCAAAGGGCTAGAGAGCAAGGGTCTTTCCAGTGTGCCTTGCACCGGAGGCTAGGAAAGCAGGTCAGGGTGAGAGCAGTGACAGGAAGACATGTGTCTGCGGGTGGGATTGATGGCGGTGTCCTGTGCCCAGTGAGCGCTGGCCCAAGGGCTCGGAAGTGAGTTTAATTTCCCAAACAGGATGGCCAAGGAAAAAGGGGGCATGTGACTGCCAGCCTGGGGAAGACCTTTGGCACAGCAGGCACAAGGTCAATGATGCAAAGAAGGGAAGTATTAATGAATCACAGAGAAATGTGCAGTGCCTTGAACTTGAGGGGCGGGAGAGCCTCTGTAGGAAGCACGATGGCCGTGCACCTAGAGCTGGGCTTCTAACCAGGATTGTGCACCCCTGATAGCATCTTTGTGACATCTCTGTACATCCTGACTCAGGCAGAATTTATACAGAAAGACAGACATTTTATATGAAGGGAGAAGCTCTATAGTTGTCAGGAGTCTGTGACCCCAAGAAAAATCATGCACAAGTGATGTGTGTATTTTCTTTCTTTCTCCAGGAGCGAAAGTCTCTTCTCCCCGGAGCCTCACTTCTGTCTGTCCCAAGAGACCTTTGGTCCTGTCAGTGGCAGAAAACCCTTCTGGATACTCTGGTGGGTGGGGAAGTTGAATAGAGGCTCAGGAAAAGCTCTACAGCACAGCAGAGCTGGGAAGCTTCCAAGTGCATCTGTGAGGACTTCCAGGTGGAGACCAACCCCCTTTCCTTGGGAGTCTGGCCACAGCCCGGGCCACCTAGACAACTGCCTCTTGGAGAAGTTTATCGTGAGGGCAGCATGTCTGTGATTCGGGCTGTATTTCTCTTCGGGGACCCAGGTGGCTTCATTATTCCACTTTCTTCCAAAAGATTTAAAAAATAGATGCATATTACAGCATTGTACATAGTGGGATGAACTCTGAAAACAGTCTAGATGTTCATCAATAATGAAGTCATGGAATAAGTAGTAGTTTATTTATATTATAGGAGAGTAGGCAGCTTGATCTGTATGTAGGGACCTCAAGGGCACCTATGATATTCCTGAAGTGAAAACTCAAGTTGAAGGGCAGTGTCTAGGACAGGGGTGGGCAACCATTTTCTATAAAGGGCCAAATGGTAAATATCTTAGGCTCTGAGTATCACATGGTTGTGATGTATGACTACTTACCTCTGCCATCGTAGTACAAAAGCAGTACAGACAATATACAAAAGAATAGGAGTGGCTGTGTGCCAATAAAACTTTATTTACAAAAGCAGGCAGTGGACCAGATTAAATCTGCAGCCCATAATGTGCTGACACTTGGCACAGATTGTGATGTTTTTGAAGAGAACCTTTGTGTATTGTGGATGTTTTGTAAGGATAGGCTCCGAGCTGCTAATCTGGCTACCCTGGGGAGCAAGAGGGTGGGATGAGGAACCGGTGATGATTCATTTCTCTCTTTATTCATTTCTGATTTCTTCGATTTGAAATGGAACACATGTATGCATTGCTTTTGTATTTTCTTTTTCCAATTCCTAAAATGATGTCCTCCAGCCTCGGGAGTTCCCAGTCGTATAGACATGACTTTGCCCATGGAGTGGGGAAGTTTCAACTTGATTTAAGGGGGTTTTGGTTCACCACAAGCTCCAGAGAAACTAGCTGTTGCTAAAAACCCAACCCCGTTTGAGATGGAGGTAACAGGTCACGATTTTCTGATTAAAAGGGACAGTCCCGCTGAGTTTTGCACCATTTGAGCCACATCCAGGGCTGTGTTTGGTGTTGGATGTGCTCTGAGCCCCTGCTGTCAGTGACCTTCCATTGAGCAGGTTACTGGAGGAAATAAGATATGTATATGGCCCCCTTTCTAGAATATTCCAGAAGGAGCTGGTTTCTGCAGGACTCAGGAGGTTCTGTTTATTTAACAGTTTCTATTTATTTCAAAGACAGAACTTTGTTGTGAACAGACCTGAATCTGCACCTCAGGGAAAACTTCTGACTCCATTCATTTCTCTGAGTTTCCTCTGTGAAAGGGAGACGATCAGAATGGGAAGATTGTGATGGTGATGGTGATGTTGGTGATGATGGTGATGATGAGTCGAGGCTGTAACTAGGTGGTACAGCACTTGCCTAGTGTGCTCTGGGCCTTCGGTTCTATCCCCAGCACGTCACATGTGAAAACAACAACAAATAACAAGAACAAAAAAACCCTCGTTACTTGGTTTTTATAAGAATCTAATGAATCACTACACATTTAGCATTTTTCATGATGCTTGAAACAAAGAATAAATGCTTCATAAAAGCTAAGTTTGTCACTGGGCTGGTTCTTACTGCGATGGCTACTGCAATCGCCACATTATCCTTTCATTTAACTCCCTACCTGTTTGGATAGGTTCATCCCCGTAACCCAACAACATTTTGCTTCATGGTCTTGGAGAAAACCAAGCAGATGCTGTGGCTGCATGGTTCTCTCTGAGCCTCAGTTTTCTCATCTGTGAAACAGACTTCACCAATCTGTTGTTCCCACCTTCTAGGGCAGGATGCTGCCTCACGGACTCCACTGATATGTCCCTGGAGAGTAAACTGCAGCCTGCAAATTAGAGGTAACGTGAAACCCCAAACCTGGAGTTCTCGCCCCCCATTCTGCATGCCTGTCTGGCTCCTTTCCCCATTAACTGGAGCCCCGCCTCTTTTGACCACATGATGTCTCTGCTCAGAACCTCCGGGGTACTTCCATCTGCCTTGCCGGTTTGGGCTGGTGATTCTATGCTTTGTGGCTCTGCATGGTAAATGGACCATTTTGCATATATGCATCATGGCCAAAATTGAAAGAAAGATCTTAGAGAAATAGGATTTTGTCTTGTTCATTTTCATGTGAATAAGTCATTCAAATCTAGCAATGGATGCCCAGTTCAAGGAGATTTCTGCATGTCAGATATAGAGCTAGGTGTCTTCACATAGAATTGATATTTAATAATATTGAGACACCCTATGAGATAGGTCACCATGTCCCCACTCTGCTGGTGAGCAGTGGGGCTCAGGAAAGGAACCAAGTAGCTCAGGACCACTCAGCTATAGGGAGAGGACCATGTCAGCTCATGCTGAATTTAGGGTAAATATGAAGTAAAATACTGTTATCACTTCTCTTTCATGAACTGGAGGGTTTAAAAAATGTTATTTTTTAATGTGAATAAGTTAAAAAAAAATCTATCTGAGCCCGCACTTACCCCTGTCTGGTGTCTGTTTACCAAACAGGCTGGACCTCACCTGGAACTGAACCAGGGCCGGTGAGGGAGGGGAAGCTGGAGGCCTAGCTGGACCCTGGCTTCCTGTGGGGAAGTCCTGGGGCTGAGCCTCCCACTTCCTTCTGGTCGATTGTTCACGGGAAGGAAGGCAAGGGGGCCTTCTATTCTTTCTCTGGAGCCCTCGAGGTGCCCTCTTTGGAAGCAGGAAAAATGTGCTCTCCCCACCCCCACCCTAGCATGTTGAAGGCAGGTCTCCCCCTTCTATGTGGATGGGGGGCCAGTAAGGGGTTTGGGGACACTGGTGCCAGTTCATGCAATTTCCTTTTCTCCTACTTGATGGCGAGGATGCACAGCTTCGGATCATCACTTTTAAAATTTTTACTTTTTAGCTCATTTTTGGCTCCCCTTCTTTACAGGGGACTGTGGGGTGGTCCAGATGGCAACAGGAGCACCCCCAATGCCTCTAGGTTTCTGGGCTCACTCTTCCCTTTAATAACCAGAAAACTGTGATGAGACCTGCGCATTCCCTCAGAGGATTCAGCAAAGGGGAGAGCCTGTCTCCATCCTGAAATCCTGCAGCCTGCTTTTCTCCATCACCTCGAGCCCCATCTTCATGGATGCTGGTGCCTCTCGAGCTCCCTGTACCATTGCCCCCACCCCTTCCCTGGGCAAAGGGGAGACATTGAGTTCCCATTTATGTCTGGGCTAATGAAATTGCACAGCAGGCTCCTTTGTGGTTGAAAGCACAGACCTTCAAATTTGACTATCCAGGTTCAAGTCCCAACTGTGCCTCTTGCCCACTGTGTGACCTTAAGCAAGTCACTCAGCCTCTCTGTGCCTCAGTGTCTTCACCTGTAAATTGGAGAGAATAAATAGTACCCTTCAATAGGGTTGTTGTGAGGATTAAATAACCTAACTTTCAAGGCATTAGAAACACAGTGTAAGCATTAGATAATCAGCTATCCAGTGACACCACAGCGTCTTAGGTATCTCGGCCTTTGACCTGGCTGGCTTCCACATGGCTGGAGCCCATGACCACCCTTACCCCAGAGAGTAACTTCTTTCATTTCTCTTTTCTTTTGTGATCCAGAGCTCTTCAATATGCCTATGGCATAAAGCTGAAAGGGGAAACATGGAAAATTCTTGTTACATTATTATAGACAATACTTTTACCTTCTTTTATTTCTATGTCCTCATTCTGGTCTGAATCTGAGAACTATTCTTGTCTAAAAGCTTATCACTTCATTTTACCAAACAAAAGACTGTGGCTCTCCTCCCCAGCCCAGGGGACAATTTGGTACCCCCTGCCATGTGCACGCAATGTAGAAATGACTGTGGCCATTTTTTTTTTAATAATAGCGTTCACTTTCTTACTACACAAAGATGAATCACAGCCACAGCCTTTAAAGAACTTCAGATGAAATGGGAGAGGGAGGGCACACACACTCTGTCAGGCACCAGGCAGACGTGTTCTTATTCAAAATAATATGGAAAGGCAAGTCCTCAACTAGCTCCTCTGCTGAGGGGAGGTAGGTCATGAGGCCATCGAATGTGAACTCCACCTTCTGCGTCCAACCACCTGTCAAAGTTAGCATGGTGAAACACACAGACGGACACACGGACAGGCCCCACCTCCTCACCCTCTGAACAGCAATGCAAAAACTTTCGCTGTCACAGTCCTTGAAGTCCCCTTGGCCTGTGTGATGCTCAAACACACTGGACCCTTGGGGCTGGGGCTGGGGCTCGCCTAGCATGCTCGAGGCACTGGGTTCCATCCTCAGCACCGCATAAATGTAAAATAAAGATATTATGTCCACCTAAAACTTAAGAGTAAGTATTTTTTTAAAAACCCCACACTGTACCCTCACAGACATTTAGATTATTTTTCTCTCCCTAAAACCTGTGGCCTGCTGGCTGAGGGGAATCCAGGACTTGTAAACTGTACTGGTTAAATGCTGAGTGTCCGGGGCGGTCCTCCAGGGCTAGCACACTCTCCTAGCTGCAGGGAAGGGGTGGTGGGAAACTGTAACAGGAAACTGGGAGCCAGCACTGGTGGAAGCCCAGAAGAGGCTCTGATGCCAACATCTGAGAAACTTCCACAAGGAAGGACACCGCAGCCTGAGTTCTCCAAGACGATGGAGAGAAAACACACCCTGGACCACGTTAGGGGCTGTGGGAATCCACACCACGCTCCGGAATCTCTCAAAGTCATGGGGAATTTCTTACATTTGGGGTGGTGACAGCGAGGGCCTGGGGCCCAGGGAGCTGGTGAGGAATGAAAGGAGCAATCACTGGATATGATGCAGAAGGATGGGTTTACAAAGTAGTTCAAGTTTTAGAATTTGTTAAAACTAAAGATTTAGAACCAGAAGGGCTTACTACTCCCCTTTTTCTACCCCTTTTCCAGATGAAAAATTGAG